CCTGCTCGGCTTCCTGTTCCTGACTATCCGGTACTCCTGTTCCCTGCTCGGCCTCCTGTTCCCGACCATCCGGTGTTCCTGTTCCCTGCACAGCCTCCTGTTCCAGCACTCCTGTTCCCCGCCCGGCTCTCTGCCTCGGACCTTGCCCCTCTTCGTGTGGACTCTGCTACACCCAAGGTACCTTACCCCCGGGACCAGCACACTGATATTTATTTGCAGTTGGCATGCATTCATTACTACTAATGAACTTTATGAAACAGATTTTTTTACCTCATGACAAGTTTTTGCTCTGCAGCACTGCTTCGCAATAAGCATAGCTCAGGATGGGAATCGCCCCCATCCGGCACCCAGGGGCCCCTTCCTACCCTAAGGGCCACCACAGGGGCTTCTGCAGAACCCCTTTGCCCTGAGGGGAGTGAGAAAAAGAAGGAAGAACTTTTTCTAAACAAAGAAGTTGCATTTTCCATTCAGGCTGTAACTTTTTTAAAAAGCAATTTTTACTGTTATAATTGTTACGATATTGAAGCAATGCAGCCGCGAGCTGCTGGTAGCTTGAAAGCAAAACATAATGGGAATGTTGGGACTGTTCCGTGGGAAACAGAGGGACAGTCAATTCACAGTGCAGAGGGCACTGCTCAGAGTGTAATATGAGCTGGACAGGAAGTGTTTGTTCTCTCTCGACTGCAGGAGTATGAAGAGAGCAGTCATGTTTTCTGTAACGCTGCAAAGACAGAAATAAAGGCATGTAAATACGTTTCTGTCTATCTCTTCCCCTGCCCGGGGGGGCAGGAAAGAGGGGTGTGTTCTTCTCACGCTGAGAAGGATCGCCTATCGCGACCTCTGCCTGGATCTTGCCGGGAAAGCAGTCAGGGAGGTCAACAGGAGACCAAGCTGGGTGCCTGGGAGAGTTGCCAGTTTCTCCTGATAAAGGCTTTTTTCCCACGACATCTGGTAGCACGGAGCCGATGGTTTCGATCCATGAAAACAACAAGAAAGGTTGATGGATCGTACTTCATCCCCTGCAAGGAGATAAAGAAAGAATGTGGTAGCGGGCGGATGGAAGCTACAAGGACGGCTGAGCACCGGAGGAGGTGTTTTTGCTGAGCAACTGATTTCCTCAAGGTATGGTGATTTTATGGGCTAAAAGAGTGAACGCAGATTGATTCTTCTCTGGTTCACAAAAGCTGCTTTTTGGATAAAAAACCAGCACTGAGAGAGAGCCACATATTTCGCATTCCTGAGTCTTGATAAAGCCAGTTGCTAAGCAGCGAGACGTCAATCTTTTCAGCTACCTCGGAGATAGTTAGCTTGAAAGAAAGTGGAAATTTACTAGCCAAAGGAAGAGGGGCTGGGACTGTGAGAGGCTGGAAAAACACTGAGAAAACAGCGTTTGTTTTGTCTGCTATCTCACTGCTCTTGGAGGGACTTTCAAAACAGCCTGCGTTTAGCTGCCAAGTGTGAGGCAGTAAACAGCCAATAGACTCTTGGATTTTACAAGCTCACTGCTGAAAGCTGAGGCTTGAGATTGAGATGGCTTTGTTCTCTCAGAAGCTCCGAAGAGCTTGTGAAGCTGGAGTGAGAAGCAAGAACCGAAAGTGTACTACCCCAGAAGGGGGGAGCCAAGATGGCGCTGGCCAAATTCCTGAAAGCTCATCGAAAGCTGAGGAGAGCTTTGACCCCAAAAGGGGGAGTGAAGGAACTGTTGCTGTTGATGTTCCTATTCTTGCTGCAACGGATGTTGCTGACAGGGGGAGTGAGGCTCGGAGTTGTAGCGCCCCCACTGACATTGCAAGGAAAGAGCAAGCTGAAGCTCTGAACGTTGTTTGTTGTCGCAATTGTGGCCAACCTGGGCATCTTCAGCGGAACTGTAAAAGGCCACGTCAGCAGAAAGGAGCAAGGGGAAGCTCTGCAAAGCCTGAGGTGTCAGGCAAAAGTCGTACCAAGTCCCAAGTGAAACCAGCTATGGCTTTAATGTCACTAAAAGCCACACCAGAAGTGGAAAACGCTTTTATTTAGGACACTGGAGCGACGCAACACATGACATTGCGGCGAGATCTGTTTTCAACGTTTAAGAAGCAAAGCTTCACTGTGAAACAGGCCAATGGCCAGGAGCTGAAAGCGACTGGGTTTGGAACTGTGTATCTAGAGAGTCTGAACTTGACTATTAACAATGCGTATTTGGTTCCTGATTTAAAGTTCAATCTGCTGAGTGTTTCGCAGATCACAAAGAAAGGACTGACTTTGTCCTATGATAGAAAAAGCTGCAAAATCTTCAAAGATGGAGAGCTGTATCTTTCTGCCAGAGAGAAAGATGGACTGTATTTGTTGACTTTTGATCAAAGCGATTGCATAAGTTGTAATGCATCTGAGTCTAACATGATTTCTCTTGCAGGTATGACGAAAAATGTCCAGAAGACGACGCAAGTAACCAAAGCTTTTCAGCGAGTGTATGCTGATGTGATTGGTCCTCTAGCACCATCTAGAGGCAATGCAAGATATTATCTTGTGTGTGTGGATTATTTCTCTCATTATGTGTGGGTATATATATTGCAGAAACCACAAGAAGCCTTAGAAAGGTTTAAAGAGTTTTGTGACAAGGTTAAAAATGTTCATGATGCTAACATTGATTGTCTTTTCACAGATGAAAAGCCAGTTTTTCTTTTGCAGGATTTTCAGGATTTCCTGGATAAGAAAGGGATAAGGCACAAGACTGCTGTTTCTGCAGGAGCATGGAACAAAAGTGTCTGTGTGCAAGTGAACAAAGAATTGCAAAATGGCATGAAGGCACAATTGCTGAGTTCACATTTGCCACATGAGTATTGGGCGGAATCGTTCTTGTGTTATTGTTACTCTTGGTTGAGAAAGGTTTCAAAATGTTTGGGAAGTTCTCCTTTTGAAAAGCTATTCCACAGAAAACCTTCTGTTGCCCATTTTAAGGTTTTTGGGTCTCATGTGAAATCTGATGCTCCAGGTGGAGTAAAGAATGCTAGAGGCATTTTTGTGGGTTATGAAAAGGGTCTCTACAGAGTAATTTTGTCTGAATCTGGTCAGGTGGTTCTCACAAAATTTCTAGAGTGTGCTCCTGAACAGGAGAGAGTAATTGTTCACACATTTCCCACTGAAGACAATTGAGATGATGATGATGATTTTACTGATTACAGTGGTACTGAGAGTGACAGTGATAGCTCAAAGAGCTCAGTTGACACAGTCATTGAGAGGAAATCTCACACAATGGAAAGACCTTCACAGGTGAAGGATGAACCACTGTTTACTATTGGAACTGGTTCTCCAAAGAGTCCTGAGACTGAACCAGTGAGCAGAGAGAATCAGCACCTCATACGCAGGTCCGAGAGAGTAACAAAGGGTGTACCACCCAAGAGGTATTCAAAAGAGTTTGCTAACTCGGCTGTAGCATGTGTTACTATTGTTGACAACTCAAGACAGGTTAAAGGTGTGTCTAAGTCAGAGACAAAGACACAACAGGGAGTTGCTAAGCGTAACACTACATTCCCTAGCCAAGGTAATGCAGATGCACTCATTCCTTGGAAGACAGACAACCAGAGAGGTACACTGGGGAAACCAGTGGCGGGTAGTTCTAAGGGTGGAACTGAAACAACAGGAGTGTTATATGTATAACAACTGTTTGTTTTCTTCTCTGGATCACGCTTTGCTCGCAGTGCACATTGATTCATATGGGGGAGTATGTTACGATATTGAAGCAATGCAGCCGCGAGCTGCTGGTAGCTTGAAAGCAAAACATAATGGGAATGTTGGGACTGTTCCGTGGGAAACAGAGGGACAGTCAATTCACAGTGCAGAGGGCACCGGAATTAGCTCAGAGTGTAATATGAGCTGGACAGGAAGTGTTTGTTCTCTCTCGACTGCAGGAGTATGAAGAGAGCAGTCATGTTTTCTGCAACGCTGCAAAGACAGAAATAAAGGAATGTAAATACGTTTTTGTCTATCTCTTTCCCCCGGCAGGGGAAAGAGGGGTGTGTTCTTCTCACGCTGAGAAGGATCGCCTATCGCGACCTCTGCCTGGATCTTGCCGGGAAAGCAGGCAGGGAGGTCAACAGGAGACCAAGCCGGGTGCCTGGGAGAGTTGCCAGTTTCTCCTGATAAAGGCTTGATTTCCGACAATAATAACTTTACATAAAGCAATTTGTGAGGTCCACCTGAAAGGAGCTATATAAATACAACAAATAAATAAGTCTTGCTTGCTTGGATGGAGGTTAGAAAAGCATGGGTGAGTGTGTGTCGAAACTACCCTATTGTACAAACGTAAAATTCGCATTTGTTGCATCACATACATTTGCAGTATCCTCCTTGCCTTAGCACGTGGCCCCACAGAGATTGCCTGTGGCCCTCAGCATGAAAAGGGTCCCTGCTTTTGAATGAGGCATGTGGGTCACAACAGAAATGCCCTCAGCTACAGCAGTAGGGGCTCCTTCTCTGAAGTAATATGCACCCTTGCTTCTGCATAAATGAACAAAGGGATACAAATCTGGCATTCGAAATAAAAATAGAAATCTGATGTTAAAAAAATCACAACATTCAGAAACAAGTGGTAAAACATTTCAGTCTCACAGGATATTTTGTGGATGACCTAAAAGAAAAAGCTTTTCAAACTAAAGAATTTCAAAGGTAAACTGCAACGTTATATTGCTGATCAAAAATTTGTCAGCATCTTTAATTCTAGTTTAGGGCTCAGTTGGTACCAGGGATCTCTGTCCCAACAGAGATGTTGAAAGTAGTTTAGAAAAAACTCTTGCCAATTGCTCCTGTTGAGAATGATCACAGTGCTTCTATTTGCATATATTTGGGCATAAGCCTGCATTTCATGGTCTTTGGGGCCCACTGTTCAAAAAATCTCCTAGTCTGTACCCATATAATAGATTTTATACATGTAGTTGTAATCCTATTAAAATTTAATTGTTTTTTAATTATTCCTTGCCTTCCCACCCCGTTTTCAGCTGCTCTTATTTTATCTGTAAGCCACCTTGATCCTTGTCAGGAGAAAAGGCAGGATGTAAATATAATAAAAATAATGTGTTTCTACGTTCTGTGCCACCCAGACTGAGGTGAGCCCTGCTCCCTCCTTGCCCAGTTTCTCATCCTGTCTCTCTCCTGGCGGCTGGTGGGAAGGCCTCTGCTAAACTGGAGAACAATGGTTAGTGTGTTGGACTATGACCTGGGAGATCAGGGTTCAAATTCACACCAGCCACAAAGCTCACTGGGTGACCTTGGGCCAGGCACCATCTCTCAGTGCAAGCCTACGTCCCAGGGTTGTTGGGAGGATTAAATGGAGAGAGGAGAAGCATGTACACCACCTTGAGCTCCTTGAAAGAAAAATGTGAAATATTAATGTAATAAATAAATAGAGGCATTCTGCCAGAGGCCACCCCAGAACCTGGAACTGTGCCCCCCCGGTTTGTTTGTTTTTTTGGTTTTTTTTTACATGGCACTTGCTTTATGAGCAATGCTCACCACTTGAAGGCAACTAGGAAAATTTCCCAACTCTGGCTTTTCAATCACGTTAGGGTTTGAGGGCCGGGCAAAATTGTTGAGCCTTTTTGGCATATTTGCAACAAGAAACGAAGGTTTTCAGTGACTTTTTAGGGGAAATCACTGAAGAAACGCTATTTAAGGTTGCCATACGTCCGGATTTTAGCAATTTCCATCCGGGCATGTCTGGAAATTTCTGGACGCATGGCAACCCTAACATGGTGTTTCATGAGAACCCAAGAAGAGCCCTGCACATTCATAGCTCAGGTTGAAGTAGCTTCGGCTTGAGCGTTTTCAGGTTATGCTCCACGGCTTTGCCGCTTGCGCAGACGCACGTGCAGAGTTGCGTTCGCTTCAGGATGCCGTTCACATCCAGAGGTACCACTGTATCCTGATCAGCCCAATGGTCTAGCCCAGCCTCCTGGTCTCCCACGTGGCTGAGCAGCTGCCTCTGGGAAACCAGAGACCAGGATCTGAGCATGTGATATCCAGAAGCTTCTGACGGTGGAGCCATCCATATCGCCGTCTCCTCTGTGAATTGATTCACTGCATTTATATCCCAACTTTTTCTCATTTTATCCCCATAACAACCCTGAAATATACTCGGAGTTGAGAGTGGATTTCATGCTCTTTATTCAGCTCATAGTGGTGAGGATGAATGGAAGTTTCCCCAAACTGTCTGCTTTATATACATTATTTACACAATGGGCCCCACGTGATTGGCTAATTCCGGGATTCATCTGTAGGCCAATCAGGTTGCGGATTCCCTTCCACCTGGGGCTGGATTGGGTGACTCCTGCGGACCAATCAGACTGCTGCATTCTGGATCCTATTGTTCTAGGACCAATCAGACTGCTGCATTCTAGATCCTATTGTTCTAGGACCAATCAGACTGCTGCATTCTGAATCCTATTGTTCTAGGACCAATCAGACTGCTGCATTCTGGATCCTATTGTTCTAGGACCAATCAGACTGCTGCATTCTGGATCCTATTCAACTCAGTACATAACAAACCCTGTGAGGAAGGTAAGGCTGAGCTGAGAGTGAGCTACTGGACCAAGGTCATCCCCCTCGCTGGGGGATTTGAACCCGGATCGCCCAGGTCCTGGTCTGACGCTCTAACCACTAGACCACACGGCCTGATTTGTCTAGTCCTCTTTCGAAGCCATTGGCTGCTCAGCTGCGCCGCCCCGCCTTCCGCCCGCCCCGACGCCCCCAACGCGCCGCTCCATTGGCTGCCCGGCATCTCTACCTGGCCCGCCGGCCCCGCCCCCGTTACCTTGACGACGCCCGTCGTCTTGGCCAGCAAGGCTCGGAACTCCTGCGGCGCCGTTTCCGGGTAGAGCTGGTCCCGCAGCAGCTCCTCCGTGATCTCCGCGTTGCCGTAGTAGGTGGCCTGGGCGATGCCGTTCAGCAGCCCCAGCAGGGGCTTGGCGGCCTCCGCGGGAGGACGGTCCGCTGCCGCCGCCATCTTTCCCGAGGGGACTAGGCCGCAGCCGGGAAGATTGGTTCGGACGGCGGCCGGGCGGGGACAAACCAAGCCGTAAGCGGGGCGATCCTACCCAGCTCGTTGGCGACCCCTGCTGGTCGCGGGAGTAATAACAATGGTAATAAAACAACAATAATAAAACCACGTTAATTAACATCGGAAACATTATTGTTTTTTCACGTTTGAGCTTGCAGGGTTTTTTTTAAAGAGGGGTTTTTTCTTTTTCTTTTTAAAATCAAGTGCTGCATTCATTTTATGAAATTAATAAAAATAAAAAGTAAAGGCGTTCTCTTCAATGCAGGTTTCCCATGGACATGGCAGTGGGGCGTCGTCGGTGAAACCTCCATCTACACACAATGGCCTTTTAATGCATGTCTGGAAGTTGCTTAAACACAGGGCGTTATTTAAGCCAACCAGCCACGCAGTGCATGGGAACGGGGAGGGCTTCGGTGTAATGTGCAAAAGGCCACAAGCAGCAGGAGAAAGGCTTTGTGATGCTCTCTAGCGTCACAGGGGAAACGCAATTTCCATCTTAAGCAAAGAAGCCCGTGCCCCTCTGGTCCTTGCTCTCTTCCTCATTTTTGCACATTGTAACTGTGATCTTAGGGACGCGGGTGGCGCTGTGGGTAAAACCTCAGCGCCTAGGACTTGCCAATCACATGGTCGGCGGTTCGAATCCCCGCGGCGAGGTGCGCTCCCGTCGTTCGGTCCCAGCGCCTGCCAACCTAGCAGTTCGAAAGCACCCCCGGGTGCAAGTAGATAAATAGGGACCGCTTACTAGCGGGAAGGTAAACGGCGTTCCGTGTGCTGCGCTGGCTCTCCAGATGCAGCTTGTCACGCTGGCCACGTGACCTGGAAATGTCTGCGGACAGCGCTGGCTCCCGGCCTATAGAGTGAGATGAGCGCACAACCCTAGAGTCTGGCAAGACTGGCCCGTACGGGCAGGGGTACCTTTACCTTTACCTTTAACTGTGATCTTATTTAATAGTGCTACAATCAATGCTTTTTTCATAAAAAAATATTTAGGGGTACAGTGGACACTCTGGATATGGATTTAATTTGTTCTGGGGGTCCGTGCACCCCCCAAAAAATCCATAACCAGAGGTGTTGCTTCTGCGCATGTGCAAGCGGCAAAACGCGGAAAAATACGTATTACCTATCCAGAGAGTTACGTAACCTGAGTGACCACTGTACTCTCATTTTCCTACTCATTGAAATACTGCCCCTCAATGAGGCCAAACTTAGAGTCACAAAACATTTAGGAGTATGCATACCCCTGTGTCTCCCCAGAAAAAAGCACTGGTTTCAATAACTTTCTCGCTAGATGCTGAGCTGGCCTCCCTATAAGACCAGATGAGGCAAGCCTCTTAAACTGGCCTTCACTGGAGAGGGCATATTTTATTGATCCCCCTGTCTGAAAAATACAGTAGAGAACACATTTCCTTTTGAGCTGCTCTTACTGACTCATGGATGAAGAGACATAGGCAACATTCTTTATAAATGTGAAAAGAGGTGTGCTACTAACACACATCTATTTCCATTCAAAGTATGTTTGTAAGGAATAGACAACTCATTGTAACCATGTAAACTTACATGAATCTCTCTCTACATTGTTGAAATATCTCTGTGGATCCATATTTAAAGGAAATTGTCTCCTTTTCACTGATATGTTGTTATTATCACTGAAAATACTGGTGCTCTCTCTTGTCACAATTTATATATCTAGTCTATTATTCAGTGTACAGTGGTGCCTCGCAAGACGAAATTAATTCGTTCCGCAAGTTTTTTCTTCTTGCGAGTTTTTCGTCTTGCGATGCACGGTTTCCCATAGGAATGCATTGAAAATCAATTAATGCGTTCCTAGGGAAACCGACTTCAGACCAGGTCCGGGGACAGTCTGTCCCCCGACCTCTTCTGAAGGCTGGGGGGGGGGGACAAGGGCTTTTCTTCCCACCCCCAGCATTTTAAAAAACCCCGGGACAGCGGAGAGCTTCTCCGCTGTCCGGGGCGATCTTAAAATGCTGGCGGGCGGCATTTTAAAATTGCCCCGGGACAGCGGAGGACTTCTCCGCTGTCCGGGGCAATTTAAAGCCCCTGGGAAGGCAGGCAGGGGGACAAAGACTTTGCCCCCGCCAGCCTTCAGAAGAGGTCCTGGACCTCTTCTGAAGGTTGGCGAGGGCGAAAGTCTTTGTCCCCCCACCTGCCTTCAAAAGCTGTCCAGCCAAGGCTCGCGGACCTCTCCGCAAGCAGCGGCAGCACTGCCGCTGCTTGCGGAGAGTTGCCGGCATGCCGAAGCCTGCGCGCGCTGAGATCAGCGCGCCCAGGCTCTCGCGGACCTCTCCGCGAGCAGCGGCAGCGCTGCCGCTGCTCGCGGAGAGTTGCCGGCATGCCGAAGCCTGCGCGCGCTGAGATCAGCGCGCCCAGGCTCGCGGACCTCTCCGCGAGCAGCGGCAGCGCTGCCGCTGCTCGCGGAGAGTTGCCGGCATGCCGAAGCCTGGGCGCGCTGAGATCAGCGCGCCCAGGCTCGCGGACCTCTCCGCGAGCAGCGGCAGCGCTGCCGCTGCTCGCGGAGAGTTGCCGGCATGCCGAAGCCTGGGCGCGCTGAGATCAGCGCGCCCAGGCTCGCGGACCTCTCCGCGAGCAGCGGCAGCGCTGCCGCTGCTCGCGGAGAGTTGCCGGCATGCCGAGCCTGGGCGCGCTGAGATCAGCGCGCCCAGGCTCCGCGGACCTCTCCGCGAGCAGCGGCAGCGCTGCCGCTGCTCGCGGAGAGTTGCCGGCATGCCGAAGCCTGGGCGCGCTGAGATCAGCGCGCCCAGGCTTCGCGGACCTCTCCGCGAGCAGCGGCAGCGCTGCCGCTGCTCGCGGAGAGTTGCCGGCATGCCGAAGCCTGGGCGCGCTGAGATCAGCGCGCCCAGGCTCGCGGACCTCTCCGCGAGCAGCGGCAGCGCTGCCGCTGCTCGCGGAGAGTTGCCGGCATGCCGAGCCTGCGCGCGCTGAGATCAGCGCGCCCAGGCTTCGCGGACCTCTCCGCGAGCAGCGGCAGCGCTGCCGCTGCTCGCGGAGAGTTGCCGGCATGCCGAAGCCTGCGCGCGCTGAGATCAGCGCGCCCAGGCTTCGCGGACCTCTCCGCGAGCAGCGGCAGCGCTGCCGCTGCTCGCGGAGAGTTGCCGGCATGCCGAGCCTGCGCGCGCTGAGATCAGCGCGCCCAGGCTTCGCGGACCTCTCCGCGAGCAGCGGCAGCGCTGCCGCTGCTCGCGGAGAGTTGCCGGCATGCCGAAGCCTGGGCGCGCTGAGATCAGCGCGCCCAGGCTTCGCGGACCGGAGATTTCCCTATGGGCTTTCGTCTTGCGAAGCAAGCCCATAGGGAAATTCGTTTTGCGAAGCGCCTCCAAAACGGAAAACCCTTTCGTCTAGCGGGTTTTTCGTCTTGCGAGGCGTTCGTCTTGCGGGGCACCACTGTATTAGCAAATCAGATAGGGTCACATGCTGCTCTTGTTGCATTATGGTAGTAACTTGCCTTTTTGTCCCATGACCAGTCAACAGTGTGTACTAGCATGAAACAGTGGAACAATGCGTTGTCGCCTGCCAAACTACTTAGAGAAAATGTTTTATTGGTAACATATGCTGCTTTTGAAATGTTTTGTCTGCACTTGGATGATTAGTTGGAATTTTAACAGCCCAGTCCTGTGAATGTTTACCCAGAAATCCCACCAATTTCAGTGGGGCATATGTTCAGGTAAATCTGCATTTGACAAAGTCTTATCTCGTATTTGTGTCAAGCTGCTCCAATCTGCAGAGTTTGACCTTAACTACTTTATCTAAGGACAGTTTCATATGCTATGTTGTAAAATTAGTAAGTCTACAGATTGTAAAATTCATTGGGGTCAGGAACCTGTAGTCTCATGCATTGTGAAGCTTTATATATATTTGTTTATTTATTTGATTAAATTTATATACTGCCCTTCAGCTGAGGATCACAGGGTGGCAAAATCAGTATTTGTTTTATTTAAAACACATATCTATCTTTTTCACAAAGTGAGTTCAAAGTGATAAAGAACAACAGATCCATTATAAAAATGTGGAGTAGTGGTTGGATCTGGGAGATAAGGGTTGAAATCCCTGTTCAACCAGGAAGATCACTGGATAACCATGGGCCAGCTGATGTCTCTCAGCCTAACCTCGATGGGTTGTTGGGAAAATAAAACTGCTTATGCCACCTTGAGCTCCTGGGAGTTACAGGTGACATATAAATAAAATAATAAAAATTACAACCGATAAACACCAAATAAACATCAGTAACAGAGGTAGCGTCACTAAAATAAAACCAAGAGAGCAATAAGTAAAAGCCTTCTGGAACAGCAAAGTCTTTGTCAGACTGTTAGAAGGGGAAAAGTTTATGAATAAATAAACGATATTATATTTCGCACTCTGAGATCGGAATTCAGAACAGCACTGCCTGTAGGTGCCTATCGCACTCGCCAGTTCCTATTCTTCCCCGTTGGTAAATGTTTTTGGCTTTTGTCAGGTGACTGTTCTTACGTGCTCCTGCTTCTCTTCTCCAGAGTTATACCACAGCAAATCATTTCAAAAATAATAATAATTTATTTTTGGTGCGGAGGAAAGGCGTTTGCGATAGACAGCCTTTGTGAATGACGTCATTCTCGGCGACTGCGGAAAGGCCCTTTTCTTCCCGGCGCCTTCTGGAACTTTCGTGTCGGCGAGGAGCATCGGTTGGGGCTGGCGCCGGAGCTTGGCGGGCGGGGGGAGGCAGCGCAATCCATCTCCATCGGGGGCTCCATCGGGGCATCCGGGGTCAGTCATGCCGGAGAATGCGGGCACGAAGGGCGGCCTGGCGGGCGCGGGGAGCCGCAGCTCCGGCGGGAACCGCGGCTCCTACCAGGACCGGGACAAGCCCACCCAGATCCGCTTCAGCAACATCTCGGCGGGGAAAGGTAATGTCGCGGCCCAGGCCGGGGAAGCGCCCCTTGGCCCCAGGCCGCGCGCGGGGGGGGGGGGGGGTGAGCGGCAGGCGCCATTTTAGCCGGATGGGCGGCCGGGGGGGGGGGTTCCTAGGCCGCGCCCCGCCCTCCGCCGCCCCTCCACCCCTCGGGGACCGGGCAGCGGCTCCCCTTCCCTCCTTCGCAGGGGGCGCCGTGTGTGGTATTGGCGCCGTGCAGAATCCATTGAACGTGTCTGGGAACATAACATAGGGGGCTATTGCTTTGTTTAGTTTTTCTTCTTGCTTTTATTATGTGCTTTGTATTCTGCATTTTTGTGCTGGAAGCCGCCCTGAGATTTCAGGAGGCAAGGCGGTATACAAATTTAATTAATAATAATAATAATGATGGCAGTAGTAGGATAATAACCAAGCATGCTAGACAGTGATTTTGCAGAAGTACATTGTGATGCAAGTAATTTATTTTTCAGCTACAAATGTACCACTTGTACATAGTGATTAAATATTGTGTTGTGAAACTTTGGATGATAGATTTAATTAATTAAATAAATAAATAATAATAATAATAATAATAATAATAATATGAGCCTTGCTGGACCAGTAGCCCATCTAATCTAGCATCTTATTCTCACAGTTGCCAACCAGATCAGTATTTTGGGAATGATTCATGTTCTGCATTGTTTCATACTTTCTGGATGTCTCATGCTCCTGTTATAAAGGGGTTGTGTTCTGTGTTATAAATCAAGCACCGATAGCAGTTGTGTCTTTTTGTTTTCCAATGCATTTCTTATCAACAAAAAACTTGATGTGGCAAGTTTATTCTAAAAGTGTGACCCAGAGGAAAGTTTGAGAACTGCTAAGTTATGGTGTTAGGATCAGCACAAAGGTAACCATGCTGAAGATTGCTGAAGTCAATCTTTTGCTGTGTGAGGGGAAAGGAAAGGGGGCATCTCTTCTGCAAAGCCGGAAGAGCTCCAAAGATGAAACCGTATTAACAGTGCAAACACAGCTTGCTGAATAAAAGCTATTGGGGGGACCGGACACTTTCTGTGTTGCTCATTCATGTGCATACCTACTCAGAAATCAGGCCCTTGTTCCCTTACTGTTTGAGACTGCATGTGCCATGTACATAGATAATGCTGTAACAATCACGAATAAATTGGAGGTATGTATCTTGGTTATCAGAGCAAAGTAAATCTAAATGAACATATTGGTGGACTGTGGGCCCCCCGAATGCTAATACAGAATTACAGTGATCTGAAATAAGCTTCACCTTTTATGAAAGGCATTCCTGTATTTTGTGTAAGAGAGTTGTCATTGTAAGATAGTAACAGCCCAGAGGACTGAGGAAGGCTTTCATGGACACCATGGTGCCTTCGTGTATTGGGCTGGAGATGGCAGAGTTAACATGTATTGAAAACATCTAAGCAGTGTACAACAAACATAAAATCCGGATAAATGTAAGAAGACTAAAAGCAGAAAAAGTTGTAAAGAATTCACCAATCACAAAGTCATAAAGAACTGACCAATCTCATAAAATGTGCATAGATACCTGGAAAGGCCTGTTGACACCTAGAAGACTTAAAAAGGCATCTAAACATAAGCGAAGAAAATAAATTTAGGGGGCATCATAAGGTTGTCCGGGAACCTGACATGCCTCAAGATGTCAGCAAATACATTTTAGTGCAGCAGGGAACAGCTCCTCTTGTCCCCAGAGAGAAGGGAAATTCCCATAGGTGGTGGTGCTTTCAGTCCCATCCTCTATCACCTCCCAGGTCTAGTCGGAGTTTGGCTCCAGACAGGGATAGATTTGTAATGGGATCAGAGCCCAAGGAATGCATGGGGTAGCATTTCTACTAGCTCCATCCCATCAGTTAGTGGTGTCCATGGCTAGGCTTTCCTGTGCAGCCAGCAGAACCAACTTAGAATAATTAGATGAGCATCAGAGCTTCAGGGATCTGCCATGTGTGGTTGCTGCCTGGATCATTCCAATGTCTGCTGGAAAATAAAAATTACATTTTCACTTTTATTTTAGCGGTTGCAGATGCGGTTAGGACAAGCCTTGGACCAAAGGGAATGGATAAAATGGTACGTCTTGAGTGTATGCCTATCATATTGTGCATGTAGCAATTTTTTTAATGGTGCTTATGAATTCTATATAATCCATTTTCTAAGCTGCTGTGAAGTTATTTATTGTTCATAAACTTTCAGTTGTGTGGGGAAAAGGCTTTGTGATTAAATTGTCATGGAGCAGGTTCCATGTTGAGTGGAATGGATTATTTTGGTTAGCACTAACTATACAGGCAGACAAACATAAAGAGATTGTGCTGAGAATGCAAACAAAGTGAGGTTGTTGAATGGCAAGATGCTTCAGGCTTTTGAATAGCGCAAAGGGAGGGCACATGTTTGGGGAGTGATAGCCTAATCAAGGCTCCAAGGTAGGTGTGCTTAGATGTTGAAGGGCATGTATCTGTCACACTTGATGAACCAGCTTTGCCCTTTACAAACAGACCAGATCACTGTGATCATCTGGAGAAGCCCTCCTCACTGTCCCAGTTTTCACACATTCATTTAGCTTCAGCACAAGCCAGAGGTGCTGGCTCATAGGGGCTGAGATTTTTTGGGCCCCTTCAGTATTTTCAGGGAGGGGGCCCAGCCACCCCAATGTATGGGGTGCTCTGGTGCAGTGCCTGGCCTCCCTACTGCGGGGTGCCCAGCAGCGCCTGGCCTTCTCACGGCATCATAAGTGCACGTCACATGTTGCACATGTAACATCACAAGCATGCCTTGTGTGCATGTAGCATAAGGCAGCCTTCTCAATCTTCACTGCCAGGTGGCACTGCTGGTACAAGCCAAGGCTTTTAGCGTAGTAATTTGGAACATCGTGCCTTTCAAAATCAGGCACTCTTGGTTTTGTTTTTCTCTTTCTTGAGTTGGTCTACAACGCTTATGTTTTTTCAGATCCAAGATGGCAAAGGAGATGTAACAATCACAAATGATGGTGCAACAATTCTGAAGCAGATGCAGGTCCTTCACCCTGCAGCCAAAATGGCAAGTAATATTTAAATTAAATTTCCTGTCAGTCCCCAAGGTGACATCAAATCATGCACATACAATCCTCCAAATTTTTAGCTGTTGTTTAGTTGTTTGTAGAAAACAACATTGGGCCTAGAATTTTGTGCAGCTATATGTGGAGCTCTTCCTTCTGACGGCATCTGTCCAAAAAAGAAATATACAGGACTGTTACAATGATTCAGTACACATAATGTTGATCCTTTTGCAGAATCTGGGACATTACACGGCCCCTCCCGAAGAAACAACTGGCAAAAGGGCCACAGAAAACCACTACTGTAATTGTAAAATGCTTATGGTCCACATAAGCCTGATAAGCATTTTTGTTTTGTTTTTTGTTTAACCTGAATTAGGGTTATTGGTGTACCATTCCAAGTAACAATGGACAAATGGCCGTTGCCAGAACATTTTAGTTAAAATTTAATGTTCATTGTGGCAGATTGTTACAATGGATTTTCAGGCTGAGTGGCATGAATTAAATTATTACAGTATTTGACCAGAGTGCCCCTTGGCAAGAAGAGCAAATAATTGATTAGTGACAGCTAAATCAAACCCAGTTGTGTCTACTTTGAGTATGACATTTAACCAATATTTAAAAACATTACTTCAAGTAGTGTAGTTAGGTAATCTTATGTTCTGGGCTTAATGGTCTAACATAGGGTTGAGAGTGGTGTTGAAAACTCCCATTGTTCTAGGTGCATTTTGTGACAGGGAATTTCATTAGCACGAGCAGTTTCTGAGCTCTGGGGCAGTACTGCGCCTAAGATTTCAGATTAAAACTGCAGAGTGGAAGGAAAGGAGGACCTTTTTCTGCCTCCCCACTTCCAGCTACTCTCTGAATACTGTAGAAGAGACCCTCTTAAGAATATTAGGGTGTACGCAGGGGTAGGACTAGACCATGTGGAAAATGAGCACAATATTTTAGCTGCAGTTCATTCATTTTCAGCTTTGTATTCTTGTTATAAAAACAGCGCCTAGACATTCCGTTGTTGCACCCATAACCTAGTTTTATAATCCATTTAGCTCCTAGCTTTCATATCTCAGTTTCTAGCACTGGTTGAGAGATTTCACTAGATGCTAATATGTATTAACTTCAATTTCCTCAAAATGTGGTAAGCTAGATCTGCTGTGTTTGGGAACAGCACTGATCTCAACTGGATTAATACTTCCCCAGAGTTACTGCAGTGAGGTTTTGCAGCATATTCAGTATACTGTTAATCACAGAATATTATTTTTTGTTCTTGCATTTTTTCTTGCAATTCAGGGCAAATATTAATAATTTTTTAACATTTGGCAACACACAGCTGGTGGAGTTATCCAAAGCGCAAGATATTGAAGCTGGGGATGGCACTACTTCTGTTGTTGTCATTGCCGGAGCTCTGCTAGATGCTTGTTCCAGACTCCTTCAGAAAGGTAGGTTTCACTTTTTAAAAAATACATAGCTAATTTTGGCGTATGAAATAAATGGAGACTCAAAAGGATAAATGGAGACTCAATTGAAAGAGAAAACTGAAGATATAAACACCAGTGTAGTCCTAAGTATAGCATATGTGTTTTCTTTTCCCAAAGTATGTGTACTAGTGGGTCTGTGGGAGGGAAGGGGAAGGTGGTTGTCTATTTTGGACTTACTATTTTTGGATATATTGATATATCATCCAAAGCCAGTTTGAAGTCCATATCATGATATCAGTTTCACAGTTTTTGACCTGGCAATATATTGTGAATCATTGTGTGTGTGTGTGTGCGCGCGTAGCCGCCATGTAAAAATCACAGGGGGAGTGAAGCCAGCCAATGCTTCTACATAGCTTCATCCTTATTTCTGACATTATGATATATCAGTGTATCATAATGTTTAGCTAGTGATATATTGGCATGTTGAAAATCAAATATTGCCCAGCCCTACTCCTGACATGATATGACTATTGGATGTATCTACATTTTTGTATTGGCACTATTACGTACCTGTGGTAATTGTAACATATCTCCCCCGAATGGATTTTTGTGTATATGTTCAGTGATACAAAGTTTTTGGAGGTTAGTAATAATAATGATGATGATAGATCAGGATATGGCGAAAGAAAATATTCCAGAAAACTTTATTATAATTTTATTAGGGTTTTGGTGTTGTTGTTTTTTTTGGAAGGAATTGGATCTTAATCAGAAAAAGAAACAATCGTTTTTATGATGGGCCTAAAGTGTTGTTTCATGCATTGTGTTTTCTCTAAAATAATGGGAGTGGGATCCAGCTAAAATGGATGATTAGTGTTTTCTTTTAGTCAAGGCAATGGAAGGTTTGGAATTCTATTGCTAGAGTTCATTTGTCAACCAGTTTAATATTCAGGATTAAGGGCAATAAGTGGATGTGAGCTATATTAATGTGCAATATTGCAAAGCATATTTTATATGCTAATTCAACTGGAAACTTCACCCCCAGTGACTTGTTTTTAAGTGTCGTTGAATAAACTGTTTTCTAGGAATTCATCCCACAATCATCTCTGAGTCATTCCAGAAGGCATTGGATAAAGGTACTGAGATCTTGACCAGCATGGGGCAGCCTGTTGAGCTGAGTGACAGAGAAACCCTACTTAACAATGCAGCTACTGCACTGAACTCAAAGGTGGGTAACTTGTGACATATGTGGTTACAGCATGTCTAGCTTGTGATTTAAATATAAATTGCATGCAACTGTATTAACTAATAATTGAGACCAAAGTTTGGACCCTCCTTACAGTAATATTAGGAATGCTTCAATTATTTAGAATTGCCAGACATTTCTTGAGAGGAATGTTTTATGGTGGTGCTCTGATCCTGCTTGCTAGCATTTAAAGAGAGGTGGTCTCTCTGCAGGATCCTTTGAATGTGTATGGCATCACTATTTACTTGCAATGTTTCCTTTTAATAGTGAAAATTCCAGCTGCACTGGCCAGAAAAGCTTTTGCAACTGCGTATTCTTTCCCATTAAAATTGGGATTGCTGAGTCAGAGATTTACTTAGAGATTCAGAATGGGAATTGCAACCTCCATACTGCTCTCTGATTCTGTCTTAAATAAGAAAAGAAAAATTAAGAAAACAACATGCCAATTACTTACTGTTACGAGTCCTACAAAGAAACAATATAAACTGTTGATCTCCGTTTGTTTAATTTAATGTAACTGTTAGGTAGATTGAAATTCAGATCTGTTGGTGGAAGTTCTTATGGAAATGTGCAAAACCAATGAAGTAAAATGTGGGTCTTCACTAAATCCCTGCAGGTTGTATCACAGTATTCTAGTTTGCTTTCTCCAATGAGTGTGGAAGCTGTGATGAAGGTGATAGATCCAAATACAGCGAGCAGTGTGGATCTTAGAGACATCAAAATTGTTAAAAAGCTTGGGTAAGTAGTAATCTCAAAATACAAATTCTGTAACCTATTTATTTTAAATTATTATTGTGCTAGTTTACTCTTTCAATATTTCTTTCTAGAGGAACAATTGATGACTGTGAATTGGTTGAAGGGCTGGTCCTCACCCAGAAAGTGGCCAATGGTGGTATAACCAGAGTTGAAAAAGCTAAGATAGGTCTCATTCAATTTTGCTTGTCAGCTCCAAAGACAGATGTAAGTTGCTTTGTTTAATTTGTTATGTCTGCATCATTATGAGCTATCTTTACACATTGATTGCAACTTCTTAAAAATTCTAAGTATGCTAACAGTACATTATTTTATTTTACTTTCTGAATAGAATTACATGTCAAAAACTTAAAATGGGGGTGGACTGACTTGTATGATCGGTTGCTTACATAGATTTTATGTGGTCCAACAGCATATCAGCTATTAAGCACTCTTGCTTTTAACAGTCAAAATCTTTGTTAAGGTTTCCTGTTAAGAATCAGCAGGAACTATTGGCCCACTACTGAACTGCCTATATCTCTTCAGTTTAAGCCTGAAAAAGAGGTATTAGCATAAAAGAAATAGTCATTAGTGACATATTCTTCTATAAGCTAAGCTTAAGAGGACATCTTACTGCTTAACTTGCAACTGAATGCTTTGATTGTAGACAGTGAGTTATATATTACTATACTACATATGGAAATTTTGATTAAGGGTAGCCAGCATGCTGGTTCCAACTGCCATCAGTCCCAGGCAGCATGACCAATAGTAAGGAATTTTGGGAGTTGTACCACAATGTTTATCTCTGATTCAGATGCTTAGTTAAGCTTTATTATGCTTCTTCTCCTGTTAGATGGATAACCAAATTGTTGTTTCTGACTACACTCAAATGGACAGAGTCTTGCGTGAAGAGAGAGCTTACATTCTCAATTTAGTTAAGCAAATTAAGAAGACAGGATGCAATGTGCTGCTCATTCAGAAATCTATTCTGCGGTATGTTTATTCCAGTAACGTGCTTGCTGTTGAAGAATGAATGATATTCGGGATTAAAATTGTTCACGGTGTGATAAAGTTTAAGAGACTTGCTCTGAAACGTATTTCTTAAACCAGGGGCGGGCAACTGAATCTGGCCTGTGGACCAGACATTCAGCCACATTTGAGGCTCTGACCAACTGTCAGATTTTACCCACACACGTGGTTGAATGTTTAGTCCAACCACCTATTATGTTAGGTGACGCTAGTCTGCTGCTGAAGCAGCAGTTTGAGTAAAGTGGGAAGTAGAGAGGGAGAGGGCTTGTAGGCCTTTTGGAGAGATTTAGGAAAAGCTTCAAACCAATGATGCACTTCATGACATCCAGGTGGGCCCAGGATAAATAATGACATCTAGTTGGGCCCAGGATACGTTAAGGTGTGTTCTGAGTCTTGGGAAATTCTGGGTCTGATCAGCGTAGCTTGCCCATCACTAATAACGCTGCTGTGATTCTGGTTGATTTTCTAGCTCATTCATTGTGTTGATTTCAGGGATGCTCTAAGTGATCTAGCGCTACATTTCTTGAACAAAATGAAGATAATGGTGATTAAAGATATTGAAAGAGAAGACATTGAGTTTATATGTAAGGTAAGGAGGAGCTGTTAGCTAGTTCTGCTGTAGGTGAATATTTGATTCAAAAAGTAATTGAAATTGGTCATAATACTGATTGGCACAGCTTTGGAATTTGTTACACACTTTGTATGTAGGCTGTGGGAGGAAACAATACGTGAAAGAATTAGTAGGCTCTATTAGTCTCACTTCTTCTCAAGGAAATAGTAATGTGTCATCTTGCTTATAAAGATGCAGCTGTAAACTGTCTTACTTCAAGCTTATACATGAGTGGTCGGAAGTAAGTCCCACCAAATTTAATGGGACTTCTTCCTGGGTAAGTAGATAAAGGATTGCTGCCTGAGTAAAAAGTATAGCATATTGAACTATATCATACCTTTTTAATCTATGGTCCCTGTGTTTATTTATTTTTGAAAAGACCATTGGAACTAAGCCAGTTGCTCATATTGATCAGTTTACTGGAGATATGCTGGGATCTGCTGAACTGGCAGAAGAGGTCAATTTAAATGGATCTGGAAAGCTAGTAAAGGTAAGCAGAACTCCTGTTTAGCTATTTAGCTTGCTTCTTTATGACACTTGAGGAAGTAATTTTCATTTCAATTTCATAAAATGTATACATCGCTTGATTGTAAAAACCTTAAAACGGTTTACAAAAAGATAAAACCATAAAATCAGTATTTTTAAAAATACAATACATTAGAACAGGGAGGCCCAACTTTTCATACTCTAGGTCCCTGTCAGAGCCCTCCTTGCTTACCCAGCTTTGGGAAAGTGGGACGGAGAGGGGGTCAAATGTTGCTGGGAACCGCCAGAAATGCCTCGAGGGTGGCAGACGGCCCCTGGGCTCTGTGTTGGACCACCTGCATTAAAACATACAAAAAGTTAAAAAACTAAGATTACAATTCATCTCATTACCAAGCATTTGGTTAGGCTTGTATAAACAGGAATGTCTTTAACAGAGCTCAAAACAAATACAGTCGTACCTTGGATCCCGAGCGCCCTGGAACTCTGATGTTTTGGCTCCTGAACGCTGCAAACACAGAAGTGATTGTTCCTGTTTGCGAACTTTTTTTGGAACCCAAATGTCCAACAGGGCTTCTGCGGCTTCCTGCAGCCAATCAGAAGCTGTGATTTAGTTTTCGAACGTTTTGGAAGTCGAACGGACTTCCGGAACGGATTCCATTCGACTTCCAAGGTACAACTGTGAAAGTGTATCTATTGTTTGATATAAATAGGCAGGGAGTTCCACACTAAACTATTGAGTTATTACAAATGTGGAAGGGGTGTTATGTGGCACCTGTAGTAGTGCCAGTTCCACC